ATGGCACAAGGATTAAGCATTCAGCTGTTAACTGAAAGGCTGGTGGTTCAAACCCCACGACTGGCTTTGCAGGAGAAAGACTTGGCAACCTGCTCCAATCAAAATTGTAGTCCAGAAAACCCTCTGAAACACTTCCACTCTGTCACACGGGGTCGCTATGAGTCAAACACTGACTAGATGACACCATTGTCCAAGTGTGCTGTGCATTGGACACACTAATTCACAAGCTAGTCACAGCCCCTGGGTGTCCAGTTTATTGCTTAGGGTTAGTTTCTTTTCTCTCTCTCTTTTGCTCTCAAGCACATGTAGAAATATTTTTCTGGAAAACCACTACTCAGTGGATTTCAATCAAAAAAAGGTATTAGCCAACAGAATATTGAGGCCACTTCACTTCAGAGATGTGGAGACCAAAACCACAGATGGTGCTAACAATAAGCTGTATTCTGTTCTTTCTGTCCCTCTGCTTCTAGTGCAGTTGTGGTCCATTAAAAATGTGCTGTCAATAGTTGTTGAATTAATAATAAGAAAGAAAAAAAAAAGACTTGTCCTACATACCTCAACAAATGCAGACTGGTGCGCACAGGTAGACACAGTGGAAAGAACCAGCTGATAGTCTGATGCCCCTCTAACCTATCCCTTCTCTAGTCTTCTGAGCAAATACCCTCTTACCTGCTTAGCTAAAAACCAAAGAGCATCCAATCTATTGGCAAGGCTTTGTCTTTACCTTCAAAACACACGCTGAGGCTTTTCCCATCCTCTCTCTCATGTCCTACCATGTCCCTCCTGCTCACTGCCCACCGACCACCCCAATCTCCATTCTGTTCTTCCCACACACCAACCTTCTCTCTTCCACCCTGCTTGACTCCTCTCTACTTAGGTCTCACCACCTCTCTCACCTCTAGGAAGCAGCGCTCCCCAGCCACCCTGGCCCCCTCTCTTAGACTTCCTGCTCTGAGTATCCACCCAGGCACTCTTTCATCCAGCTGCTTTAATCTCTGTCCAGGACTCATTTCTCAAATCTTTTCTGGGTCATCTGTTTATGACTTGTCCTCCTCCACCAGGATACAAGCTTTCCAGAGTGGAGCTTGCCTGCCTTGTTAGAGCATTTATTCTTTCCTTCTGATTATTTCTTATTTGCCTTTGAATCTACAGCTCCTAGAACAGTGGCTGGTACAAGGTAGATCCTCAACAAGTATCTAATTGAGATATTCATTGTTTAATGTTATCTTCACAATTGGTATCAGTCCTTTTCACTTCTGAATTGGCTGAGTTAGAAGTAATGCAAGCTTTGGAAGCATGTCAACTATGTGGGTGTTATTGTTAGTGTTAATATAAACTGACTTTACAGTCACAGTGACAGTAACCCAATTCATTATTATCTTCACCCTGGCCCTCCGTTCTGGCCCATGTGATAGTGGAAAAGAGATGTCTGGTAATGAACCACACTGCAGCCTCCAAAGTTCAGTTTAACAATTACTCACTGAACATTTACTAGACAATGACTAAGGATCAGAAGAAGACTTGATGCCTTCGAATTGTGGTGCTGGAGAAAAGTACTAAACATGTCATGGGCTACCAATAGGAAAAACTGGTCTGTCTTGGAGAGGATGAAACCACGTTTGACCTTGTAGGCAAGGATTTTGAAGCTCCATCTCACATACTTTGGACATGTAGCCAGGAGGGGACCTGTCCTTGGTCATCCTGTTTAGAAGGGTAGAGGGACAGTGCAGGAGAGGAAGAACCTAGATGAGATGGATTGACACAGTAACTGGGGCAATGGGATTAGGTGTGTCAGAATCAGTGAAACTGGCTCAGAACAGGGCAGGGGTCAGAGCTATTTTACATAGGATTGCTACAGTGGCATGTAACAACAAACAACAAGCCCACGACTGAATACTGAGGGTACAAAGACAACATGTCAGAGTGGCCATCCCAAGGGAAGTGCTGTAATGAAGATTTGACCAAATCTATGAAGACCCATGTGTCTTCACCAAGTATCTCATTTAATAGTTACAGGAGCAATTTGAAGTGGGTCCTGTTGTCCCCATTTTACAGAGGGTAATCTTGAAGCTCAGCGACATCAAGTGTCTTGTCTGACCCACTCACCCAATTCTGTCTCGTACTGACCCCAAATGTAGAGCTGTCCTCCTCAAGTCTTCCAATGGCTGATCTTTTAGATGTAGATCAACAGACCTTTTTCTCAAGGGGCCTCTCAAAACTCAACTCATGGACTCAAACCTCTAAGTTTCCAGTCAGCAGATGAGTGTGTGTTAACCACTTGCACCACACAGGGCCTTCCACTTCCCCAAAGGCACACAGTTACAAGGCGGGAAAGCCTGCTGGGCTCCTGAGCCAGGCTACTTTCCGCTACCCCACACAGGCGTCCATGGTCAGGAATGTCCCTGGAGGAGATCACAGGCTCGAGTTTGGAAGGAAAGGGAGTAGCTCAACTTTCCACTTACTGTGTCTGCTGTGCTCAGCCTGGGGGCAGCCAGCCTCTGGGGACTGCATCAGGGACACTTAGGGCTTAGATGAGACTCTACCAGTCCTAGAAAAACTCCCAGCGAGAGAAGTACAGGGCTCTCGGGCTGATTCGGCCACTGTGGGATCCAGGCATGATCTCAGCAGATGGGACAGGCAAGTCTCTGACTGGGGATCCAGCCCACAGACCGACCCAGGCTTCAACCACTTCCTCTGTTCACCCAGCCAATGGAGTCCAGATTCTGTGCCAGACTAAGAAAGAGAGGTTCCTGGGAGGCAGGAGAGAGGGAGGGAAGAGTTCAAAAAGTGTGAACTTTGACAGCACCTTCTTTGTAACCTTGCAGGAGAGGGAGTTCATGAAGTTTTTATGAGTTAGCACCATGGGCAACTCACTACTGTGTGATCCTATGCGGCGTGTGCACAGAGGTCACACGTGAAGTGACCTGAGAGAGCAGAACCAAGCACATGTATACATTTGTGTGCGCATGTGACCTTACTCTCAGAAATACCACCACACTTTGGAGCTTACTGTTACAGTCACTATGTCAACCCATCTCACTGAGGGTCTTCCTCTCTTTCTCTGACCTTCCACTTTTCTCAGCATGATGTCTTTTTCCAAAGACTGACCCCTCCTGACCAAAGTAAGTGAGACAAAGTTTCACCGCCTTACCTGTAAGGAGCCCATATGTTGCACTTTGTCTAATACAGACTTGTTGTTGTTCCTTTGGGAGTCCATGGGATGTTTTATACTCTTCACCATCATCACAATCCAAATTTGTGTGGTTAGGTTTAACATATATTCAGTAAAGTACTCAAAGATACACCTCAGTGAATTTTTACATGGTATATATGGCATCTGCTTCCAAAATAGCTTGTCTCCAGAAACCCTATGAACTTGGAGAAACGATGAAAGTTATACAAATGTTCAGGTCTTTTGTTCATAGTGTTGCTATGAGTTGTCCACGACTCGATGGCACATAACAACAACAACAACATATATTCACAATAACCTGCACTGAGATTGAAATGCACAACTTTGCCAACACTCCAGAAGGCTCAGCTGTGCTCCTTCCTAATCAGAAATTTTCCCTTCAACAGTGGTAACCACTATTCTCACTTTTAGTATCATAGATTAGTTTTGCCTGTTCTTAAACTTCATATAAACAAAATCATACAGAATATACTCCTTTGTGTCTGACGGCTTTCCTTCATCATTGCATCTATGAGATTCAGTGATGTCATGGTATTTAATACTAGTTCATTCTTTCCTACTGCTGGTTTTTATACCATTATATGGATATAATTGTTGTTAGGTGCTGTCAAGCTACAACTCATAGCAACCCTATGAACAACAGATTAAAAACTTGCCCATACCTATGCCACTGCCATGGTCTCTGCCAGGTTCAAGTCCATTGCTGCTACCAGTAAGGGACATTTGAGTTTTTCCTATTTTCAGCAGGTATGAATGAAGTTAATATGAACATTCATGTACAGGTTTCTTTGCTAGACATATCATATCTCTCAGACATACCTTCTTCTTGTCATGTGCTGTCAAGTCAGAACCAACATAACTGACCCTCTGGCAAGTTTTCAAAGGAAGTAAACTGTACAAGAGGAGACTGTCCATCTTTCTCCTAGGAAGCAACTGGTGGATTTGAACCATGTGCCTCTGAGATTGCAGCACAGATTCTTACCACAAGTCCACCAGAACTCCCTTAGGTGTATATTTTAGAGTAGAATTGCTGTCATAGAATGCTCATGAGTTGATCTTTTGTAGATTCAGCCAAACATTTTCCAGAGTTTGTACCAGTTTACATTCCTACCAATAGTGTTGTGAGAGTTCTAGTTGCTTCACATCCCCACCTATGTTTAGTATCAGGGGGCCTGTTAGTTTTAGTCAATCTGATACCTGTACAGAGAGATCTCATTGTAGTTTTAAGCTGCTTTGCCTAGTGAGTAGTGACGAGGTTGAGTGTGCATTAGTGTCTTTATCAGTCCTTTTTTGAAGTGTCTATTCAAGCTTTAACAGAAACACAATGCTTATAAAAATAAAGAACTGACAAAAACCAGAGAGTAAAGCAGAAACAGACCATGAGGCAGACATAAAGAGCAACTTGGTGGTGGTGTTGTGTGCTGTCAAGTCAGAACGAACTCATAGCTGCCCTGCTTGCAGATTTTCAAAGGCAGTTAATGGTAGAAAATTGTCCATCCTTCTCCCACAGAGTAGCTGGTGGATTCAAACCACATTCCTTCAGAACTGCAGCATAGCCTCTTACCAAAGAGTAACTTAACAACATGCATTTCTATCTGCAACAGTCATTTCTGCAATTGCAAGTCAATTGCTATAATTAACAAACTAGTACTGGCTTAGATAGGCGCATGTCTGAACTTTTCATTTTGAACAGATTATTTGAATATCACAGAGACTCTCAACTTAGATTCAGCAGGAGAAAAAGACTGAGAGCCTGAGAGGTCCCCTTGCCCAGCTGACTGACCGACTGCTTTTCCTTCACTTACAGGATCCCGACAGTGATCAGCCCCTGAACAGCCTCGGTAAGCTCAGGTCCGGCTTCTTTATCTATCTCAGCCTCTGATTTTCCATCAAATAAGTATTAAGTCCCTCTTGAGTGTGCTGCATCACTATCATCACCTGTTAAATGCTATGAAGGACATTCATGTATTCATCTATCATTCAGTGATTCATCTCTCATTTACTGAGCACCTGTAAGTCCCAGCATCCCTTCTAACAGCAGCAGGTAGGATACCCAGGGAAGCAAGAACAGCCAATTTAATTGGTCTCTGATGCCTTTATACAGTTACTCTTTCTCTCGTTCATTCAACACAAAAGAGGTTGGCTGCCATATACCAGGCCCTGAACTGAGTACTGGGCTATAATAATGCATTGTTGTTGTTGTTGTTGTGTACCATCTAGTTGGAACTGACCCATAGCTGACACTCCAGTGAGTTTTCAGAGGCAGTTAATTACATCCTTCTCCTGCAAAAAAGCTGGTGGATTCGAACCGTGTGCCTTTAGGATTGCAACACAGCTTCTTACCACTAGGCCACTAGAACTCCCATAATAGTGCATTGAACAACCCAAATATCTTCCCTCACAGAACTTACAACCCAACCAAGCTGTAAAGGAACAAGCTGGACAGTGTTTTCACCAATAGAAAAGCAAATAGCTGTGTTTACCTAATGTGCAGGAGAAAAATAGTTTAATAAGATGTTCCCAGAATTAAGGTGTTTCTCCAAGCAGATAATCTTAAGCCATTGATACCTACTCCTACTAGTCTGATAGATAAAAAGACACAAATTAATAAAGACCTAATAAAATCAATCCTATAAGCCAATCAATATTTTTCAATGGCCAGTCCCACTTACTCCGACAGCTTATTTATTTCATGACCAATAGTCTTGAATTTCTATTGATTGCAATGTCATCTTCAGTAAATCAAACAATACCTAGTTGGCAATTTGGAATTTATGTATCAATAGTCCATGGTGTCCCTCAAAGAGTACCTGGGCTTTCAAGTGCTCCACCAGCAGAGCAGAACCGAGGGTTACTGAACCGCAACGCAAGTTAAATGTGTTACAGGTTCCCTGTGGAAGGGAGCTCACGTGGTCAGGAATAGCTCCAGGCCAGGCAAGCCTTGGCAAAGGCCTTAGAGAATGAATACACTAACAAAACCAGAAGAGGAGGTGAAGGAATAAGATGAGGAACATCACAAGCAAAGATATAGAAAAAGACTTCATACGGAGTGTGGCATGGCCAGGAAGAGAACCTGCCTATGGGGCCCTGAGGGTTGATAAAGACCACCAATGGAAAGCCCATCTGACTCAAAGCTGAATTGAAGATAAATGTCATCAGAATGCGTTCATTCACAAGTGTCTATTAACCCTCTGGGTACAAATAGTTAATGTGTTCAGTTGCTGACCAAGAGATCGGAGCTTTGAGTCCATCCAGAGATGTCTTGGAGTAAATAAAATCCTGATATTCATTCTACTTCTGAAGAAATCAACCACTGGGAACCCCATGGCACGCAGTTCCATTCTGTCACACACGGGGGCGCCATGAATCAGAAGTGACTCTATAACAACTGGCTCGATTTTCAGTAAAAAAGCACAAATGGTACTGGTGTTCCCTCCATCCTTGAGCTTATGGTTTCACTAAATGAGAAATCAAGAAAGAGGACAAAATATTTTCTGTTGACTGGATATGTTCAAAACACATGTGCAAGAGGCTTAGGACTCCCCTAGGGCAGGCCTGGGGCAGAATGGACAGAAGTGAAGCATCCTAGAACAGGCTATGAGAATGGGGTACCAGAAGGACAAGGTGGCATGGGTTGGGGCTCGTCTGAAGGCCACTTGAGACTTCAGCGGTGACTATGGCTGAAGGAGTGAAGGGGACCAGACAGCCTTGTGCTAATGAAGCTAAGCCTGGTCTTCAAGAATAACCACCTCCCTTGGGGACTGACCACAGTGGTCCAAAGCACTCCTGGGACTCCACACCTGGTGTGGCCAGAGGATTGGGGGATGTGGGCCTTGGCAGGACAAGTCTTTAAGCGCCAGCCAGTGGGAGCTCAGCACACTGACTTGCCTTCCATCTCTGCAGATGTCACCCCCCTGCGCAAATCTCGCAACTCCCTGGAGACCTTCAAAAAAGTGGGGGTCCCCATCATCGCTGCGGTGCTGAGCCTGGCAACCATCGTTGTTGCTGCTATCCTCAGTAAGTAGAAGCCTCATCCCCTCCCTCTGGGGCAGCCTCCACCCTAGTTTGTCCCCTCAGTGACAGCCCTGACCCTACCCTGTCCCCTCAGTCAGTAACAGCCCCCCCCAGCCTGTGCCCTCAGGGGCAGCCCTCATCTCACTCACGCTATCCCCTCAGTAAATGGCAGTCCTCGCCCCCACCCTCACCTCTCAGCACCTTCTTCACCCTCCACACTCCCACCCCCATAGCATCTAGGCAGGTGATCTGCATATGTACCCACATGTTTCCACCCCCTGTTTTGAAGAAAGCCTTCTTCTGAGAATGAAGGGGAGGTAAGCCCAGCCCCTATATGTCCCTGATGCTCTGCCTTGCAGTGAGCTGCAAGGCTGCAGCATCGCCAACCCACACAGGAAATTTGCACAGGTGGCCACACCCCTTGTCTCCTCCTCCAGATGGAGAGCCCAGGGGAGGGGAGCTGGAAGAGCAGGGGCATTTCTTCTGGAAAGGGGTAGAGGAGGAAGAAAGAGCCGGGGAAATGGCAGACCTCCCCACCTTTAGCTCTATCATCCAGCCCTCACCATGGCCTGTGCTGTTGTCCATGTTTACAATGCAGAAAGGGTGTTGAAACTCCAAGCAGACCCTTTTGCCTTCATTTCCACATCTCTGATAAAGAAGATAAAGCTGAATGAGAAGTAGCGTCCATAGTCTCTTTCAGCTTGCATATCCAATGGCTAGCCTCTGATTCCCCCTCAAAAAGTGGGGTCAGCAAACAGCTGCAAGTAGAGCCGAGGAGACAGGACTAGAAATCAAGAGACCTGGCACGACCTCTTGCTGCCATGTGGTCTTGAGTAAGTCACTCAGCTTCTTTCAGCCTCAGTCTCCACATCCGTGAAATGCCCTCCCTCCCACAGAAGAACACGATGAGGCCCATGGGAGAATGTGTATTAAAAAAACAACAACAAAAAAACCCTGGAGAAAAGGCAGGCTGTGTGAAGGTGAGTGTCAGGGTGCAGCTCAGAGGGAAACAGCCAAGGCTGTGCTTTTGTTGGCTTGTGACCTGGTTGACTTCCCTACCAGCAGTAGATGCAGACTCGTTGGAGGACACTCAGAGGTCATCTGATTTAACCTCTCATTCTACACTTGAGAACGGGGGCAAGGGATGAGCACGAGGGGAGAGACACCTGGAGACAGAATTGGACAGGAAGCAGGTGTCCCTCGGAAGAGTTCCATGTGCGTTTCCATCTGGCAGCGGTGGACATGCAGATCCACAATGGAAACACCTCCAAAGCCCTGAGAGCCCAGAGGCGTGTGAGACTCAGATAAGCCCAAGTTACTTCTACTTGGCCTTGGGCCGCCTGTTTTATTCAGAATAATACTAAAATAAGCTTCTCTTCTCTGAGCCTCTGCCTTAGCACAGCGAAGAGGGTGGAAGCGCTGCAAATCCATCCAGGGGCGGAGGGACAGGCAGGCACCTGGTTAAGATTTAAGTTCTAGATGAGCTCTCCCTGTTCCAGCAGCCCTGAGGAGCTCTCATGCCCGGGGGCACCTCTGCAGGCACGGGAAGTGGCCCACACCTCCATCCTGAGTTATGTCCACTCAGCCTTTTGGCTTCTTCTTTTGGTCTTATTTGGTGACACTGTGACCCGCCTTGTCCTGGGAAACGGGTGTGACCCTGACATGGCCCAGCTCCTAATCAGGAGAATCAAACTCCAGAGGTCTAGGAAATATCTGATCTGCTCCTTCTCTCCTGCTTCACTCAGACAAAGAACTCAGAGCCGGCAGATGACATGCTTAACTCCTTCGGGAAGGCCAGGAGAGGCAGCCACGAGTTAGGCTCTGACTCAACTCCTGGTTTTGCCACTTAGGTTGCTGTGTGACCGGGAGAAGCATGACCTAAGTGTCTCTGCCTCAATCTCCTTATTTATGTTAATAGGGAGGTCCTTGCCAGGATCACACGGAAGCTGTTAGCACAGTGGTGAGTGGTGGTCATCATTACACACATTCCCACTGCTCCTACGGTCAGCAGTGCTGTTGCTGGACTTTAAGGGAAGCATTATTCTGGGGGAGCTGAGTTAGACAGGAGGAGCCTCCTTCCTAGCATGGTGTTTGCCTGTGTGTTCTTACCCAAGGAAATGTTTTTGAAGTATACATCCCCTAAGGGATTTAAAAAAGAGAGAGAGACAAAGTCCCATCATCCCTAAATGGTAAAGGAGCAACAGAATCTGAAGGCAGCTGACAGAAGATATAGGTGGCAGACAGAAAAACTAAGAGAAGCTCTTAATGACTCTTTTCAACCTCAGAGTTAAATAATCACTAGAATTTTACCTGATAGTTAAAAGACACTTTTCCTAACTGCTAGCATACTTAATGGTCTTACCAGCCCTGCAAACTATCATCCCACTGCACCAGGGAGGAAACTAAGATCTCGAAAGGGGGAGTGAGCTCCATCTCAAACTGCACAGTAGGGAGGAGACCGGGGACTCACAGTAAGGTCATTGGATTCTGGGTTCCCTGTTACCAGAGGAAGGATACGTGCCAGCACTCAGGGGTAAGAAGCTGGGAGGAAATCCTGTTTCTAAATTTCTCCCACACACATCTTTCTTGACTCTTTGGCCACCTCATCGTTATGGGCAGAAGCCCGGGCCTGCTTGTCTCAAGCCCAGTTCTCTTCTCAGGGAAGTCCACCCTCTCCCAGCCCCAACCACCTACTTGGCCCTCAAGCCTCTGTACTCCTTCCTCTACCTGTCTTCCAGTTAAGGTGATCCTAGACAAATACTACTTCCTCTGTGGGCAGCCTCTTCACTTCATTGCCAGGACGCAGGTGTGTGATGGCCAGCAGGACTGTGCCTCGGGGGAGGACGAGCAGCACTGTGTCAAGAACTACCAGGATGGACCCCAGGTGGGAGGTGAGTCCAGGGGCTGCGGAACACAGCAGGCTGGTGGACACAGTAGAAAGTCAGACCCCTTGGTCTACTAGGTTGTTAGATGTCTAATTGAGTATGACTCAATGGTGACCCTGTGAACAGACAACCTGAAACCTGCCCTATCCTGTGCCATTCTCGTCCCCTCTAACATACTAGAGCCCATTGCTGAAGTCACTGTGTCAATCCATCTCATCGGGGATCTTTCTCTGCTTCTCCGAAATTACAATTTCTAAGTGTGATGATCCTTTCCAAGGAGTCATCGCCTAGCCGCACATCCAAAGTATGAAAGATGAAACTTCATCACTTTTGCCTCCAAAGAGCACTCTGGCTGCACTTTCCCCAAGACATGTTTGTTTCTTCTCTTAGCAGTCCACGAGCTATTCATTTCTCTCCTCTAGCACCACAACTCTAAGGCATCAATTCTTCTGTCATCCTTATTCACTGTCCGGCTTTCTGACGCATAAGAGGTGATTAAGAAAACTGTGGCCTGAGTCAGGAGCACCTTGGTCTTCAAACTGACATCATTGTTCCTCAATAATTTATAGAAGTCCCTGACAGCAGACAAGCTCAATGCAATAAGTCTCCTGATTTCCTGACCCCTGGTGCCGAGGGTGTTGGTACCACCCGCCTTTTGACAGTTTCCATACCTACTTGTTAGGGAGCTCTGGTAGCCTAGTGAACAGAAACTTGTGCTACCAACCCAAAGACAGGCAGTTTAAATCCATCAGCTCCTCCACAGGAGAAAAATGGGCAGTCTCCTCCCATGTGATTTACAGCCTCTGAAAACCCACTGGAGGGTCAGCTATGAGCCAGTTCTGATGCCTGGCAACAAGTTCATTTTCAGGAGATGTCTACTGTAAGGTTAGAGAGCAAGGTTGCATCTTATTTACCTTTAGGTTCTCCAAGACTTAACCCATCAAAAGCACTCAGTAAAAAGTTAGTGAACAAATGTGGATCAGAGGTCACCAAAAAATTGTCATTGAGCCCGCCTTGTTCCTGCTGCATTTGAACGGTGTTAAAGACCTGGATTGAATGACCCTTTATATGAACTTTGTTAACTCAAGAGAACTAGGAAGGAGACTGTAAAGTCATGTAATCAGTCCTTCTATTCATTAGATATGTATTGTCACCTGCTGGGCACCAGGAATGGGCTAAGTCCTTCAAACGAAGATGAGATGTTTTGAGCATAAAGACTCCTGTTTTTTTGTTTGTTGTTTTTTTTTTAAATCAGGCTAGCCCAGATTAAACCATTCCATGCTTGGGCTCTGAAAAGAAAAAAAAAGAAGCCTGGGAGACAGGTGATGAGGGCTTTCGAGGGGAGGACAGAGTAATACTTTGTTGTTTGCTTCTTTGAAATAGAAGTAAAATGTCTATGATTGCTTTCCACCCTACTGCCAATAAATAAAGCAGCACATTCAAACTTCCCTGTCTGACTTTGTGTGGAGAAGGGCCTAGGTGTCTTTGTAGAGAAGTGTCTCCTAAGCTGGACAAATTGTGGTAGATTGTGAGTAGAATGACTGTATACATTATCAGCAAAAGTGATATCTGTAAGAGCAAATTACTATGACAGGGCAACAGGAGATTGTCTGGCCCAGGACCACTGGAGTCCCTGGAGGTGTGAACACATTTCCTGCTACTCAAAAGTTTGAAACTTCAAATTCACCCTCAGCCACTGGGACCCTGTGGAGTGCAGCTCTACTCTGATATGAATGGGCCTGGCACCCATCGATTAGACTCCAGGGCTCAACCAGGCAAAGTCAAGTGAAGACCTCAACATTCAGAATGCTGGCGTTCTACAATGTCCCTAGTCCATGAACATATCTGAGGAGTGGTCAGGTGAGGCCCTGCCCTATGGCTGACCCAGCTTCCTCCCTTTCCCTTCCAGTCCGCCTCTCCAAGGACCGGTCCACCCTGCAGGTGCTGAACCCCGCCACAGGGGCCTGGGCCTCCGCCTGTTTCGACAACTTCACAGAAACTTTGGCCAAGACAGCCTGTGAACAGATGGGCTATGACAGGTACTTAGCCCATGCCTCCAGAAGTGACCATCTGCCCCTGCACCCTCCTGTAACTCTGTCTGCCTTCTTCTTAAAAAAATGTAAACACTGGACTCACACAGGCCCACTTTTGGATTTCATCACTTGGGCTCACAAATAACATGATGCAAATCTCCTACAGAATACCAACCTCATAGGATGATCATAGGGGCCAGTGAAAGAATGTATGGCCCCTGAGTACACACACACACACACATACAGATGCATACATACACATAGGTACACACACGTATACATGCATATACATATATCCACACACATATCCACACATACGTGTGTGCATACACACACGCAAAGCTCTTTTGCAGGGAGTTACTACAGCTCTCTTAAGGTAGCCAAATGCCTCATCATCTACTCAGTGATTCACGTAAGTAGATGAATGAATTCTCACTGTCCTTTTCTATATTTTCTCAATCGCTTTTCCCTCTTTCTGGCTTTACAAGAAGCTGCCCATGGCCAGCAGTAAAAAGCCTTATTTTCTTACTCCAAGTCCCATCAGTTAAAATTTAGTATAAGCAAATCTAATCTCACTGGAGCCACATAAGCAACCCTAGGTCTCAGGAAATTTCAAAAGCAGCTCCAAATTTGGAGTAGATGAAAAGGTATATAATTATAATAAGCTGTTGCTGGTGTGTGCCATCAAGTCAAAACCAACCCATAGCTGACCCTCCAGCAGGTTTTCAGAGGCAGAAAAACATATGGGAGGAGATTGTCCGTCCTTCTCCCACAGAACACCTGGTAGATTTGAACTACGCGCCTTTGGGATTGCAGAGCAGCTTCTTACCACTAAGCCACTAGGGCTCCCCTTTAGCATATATGTTTCTATCCAATTTGATCTTGGCAGAAAACCAAAAAGTTAGTTACTCTTATGTCCACGTTATAGATTGGCTCCAAAAGGGTAAGTAACTTGCCCAGGTGTTTAGCTGGAAGGCAGAGGGGTGAAATTTGGAGGTTCCTGGTCTAGAATTCTTGAATTTCTTATGGAACTTCATCCATAAAGGGATGTGAAAAGAAAGAGGACACAACTGTAGTCAGACAGTTTAGCTAAAGAAGGAAAGAACCCATGTGTTCAGCTGCAGAGTGAGGTAACTTCTCTGGGCAGACCCAGACTTCCTCAGAATTTTAAGACATTGGACCTAGAAACTAGGCAGAAATGATAAAGCTAGGAAGACATCACCAATCAATCACAGCACTCTCTCCCCCATCAATCTCTGAAGCAGCGTCAAGGTCCTTTCCCATAACAGCTCCAGGCAAACACTACTAATTGTTTAGGTGTCTCTACTCTCTGGTTGTCTGACTTCTGCTGCTCTCTCTGCCCATCAGAAGAGAGAACGCCCCACACCTTTCTTTCTGTGAGTACCGGGAAGGCATGGCCCGCACCTGCTGTTCTCGCCTCCTCCTGGCTGCTGCAGCCCCTCCTCCCACTGCAGTCCAGCCAACTGCAGTGTCAGCTGTACCCAGCACGGCAGGCTGAGTCTTGATTATGAAACCAGGGTTGTCTCCAGGGGTTCTTAAGGTGACAAACTCCCGAAATTGCTGTCCTTCCTGAGCTCAGTAAGGCACCCAGTCATCCAGCTCTTCCACACCACGAAATCCAAGTTCAGTCTAATTATTCATCAAAATGGAACTGGTAAACTGTTTAGCCTTCCTGGTAAAGTCCATTTCCACCATCATTCTTCCTCTTGGGCTCCAGATTGCTCAAGTTTCCTTCCTTGGCCAACATTAGAGACCCTTCTTATCTGGGACCACAAAATCATAGGGAGTTAAAGGTAGGAGGGACCCTAGGAATCCATCTATGGACCCTGCTCCATCTCTCATTTGACAGATGATAGAAATAGAGAGAGCCATAGAAAGAAAGTGGCCTGCTCAAGGTCACACATCAAACTAACGTAACGGCCAGGGAAAAAGCCTAGCCCCTAAGAATTCTTAATACAAAACAGCATTGCCACACTCCAGTCCTCTTGGGTCCACCCCTGGGTCGGCTCAGGTAGTGCCATTGTTCCTGGTTAGGCGTATGAAACTATCCCAACGTGATAGTGCCACACACTTACCTGGGTGCAGACCTTGTCCTAGCATGACTGGATGGAAAGGAAAAGAGAGGCATGGAGCAGGCAGATTCCTAAAGGAGCAACAGCCACTGAGATGGCATTAATCAGGGGAGGTTTCCTGGAGGAGGATGGACTTAACCCAAGGTTTGAAAGAAGGCAAGCATAGATCAGTGAAGAGCAATAGAGAGGCTGGGCCATGTGAGAGAAATGTTTGTCCAGATCCAACAGAAGACTGGTTCAGTCCCAACCTATTTCCTAAAGGATCTATGAAAAAAGTACTTCCCTACCAAATTAGACCAAAGGCCTTGTTTAGAGAACCAAATATCCACAATCCACTTCCCTCCCAAGTGAGGGAAGAGGTAAGCTGGGTTTTGTTTTCTTGTTTCCCTCACTATGAACAAAAACAGATGACTAGGGCAAAGCTTGGGTGCCATTTGAGATAGAATAGGTGCCATCTAAAATAGGAGCAGAGCTCAGAATTAGAGACAGGGATGGCTAATGTTTCTCCAGCATTCTGTGTCCTACACTTTAATTTCTTGCCCAGGACAACTAGGCTGTGCCAGCCTGTGCCTCGTCCTGGGATCCAAGACAAGGACCCTTATCACATAGCAAACTGGGTGTCACCCTTGCTGGCTAAGACCAACTCTACTTCCCACCTTTTCCCAAAGAGTGGACGTTCCTCCCCACCACCTTGTTCTATCTAACCTCTTGCCCTAACTCAACTCCCTTTTCCTCCCAATCTGAGCAGCACACCCACCTTTAGAGCTGTGGAGATTAGCCCAGACCAGCATCTGGATGTTGTCGCCATCACAGAAAGCAACCAGGAGCTTCAGGTGCAGAACTCAAGCGGGTGAGTGAGAGGGCAAGCACCTTGTAATCCACAAAAGTAAGGCTCCAGCTGGAAGCTGCTCTTAGGGCTGCAGCCCGGCTCACCTAGAGACGGACAGCAAGGAAGCAGTGAGTCAGGATGAACTCCCAGCCAGACAGATTGTTAAATATCAAGAGCTACAGAATCACATGTCTGAGAGGGTTACTAATGGACAGCTGTCCAACAGTGCTGAGCAAAGTGTGCTGTCCACCTGAAGGCAAGAAGTTGGACAAGATGGCCTTCCCATCAGTCTAAGTGGTAAAACTAAAGACTTTCTCCTGCTCACTTAGGTTCCTAAGGTAGCCAACAGGCAAGACTACAAAGGCCATTCTGTCATTCCCTGCCACTGACCAAGGCCTGAGTAAGGCCTTTCCACATTCCCACTCCTCTGAGGAAAGACAGTCCCTGGTCTTTGTCATTGGCCTGTTCCTGTGCCTCACCTCCCAGCTTGGGGCACAGCATCTAAACAGAATCTGTCACCCTGCAGCAGAATGGCCCAGAAACAATGCTATCTTCTTAACATTCATGAAAGTTTGCTAAGGGTTGCTTGGCAGATCAAAGAGAAAATCTTGAAAAGGACAGGGACAGAGTGGTTGTTTGCCTGGAATTCCATCAAAATCCCATTAGTCTTCCTTTGGGAATGCTGCAGTGCAGCAGACTCTGTTCCAGGAGCTGTTCTCTTCCCTCTCAGACTGCCAGGGGCCTGGGCTGGGCGCCCACCCAAGACCCAGAAGAGTGAGGGCATTGGATCCAATTGAATCAAATTGCTTTGAACTGAGTGTTAATACTGTTGCTGCGAGGTGTTGCACATTACATGTTGAGCTGCTAGCCAAAAGGTCAACAGTTCAAACCTACCAGCTCTGGAGAAGAAAGATGGATACCATCCTCCTGTAAAGATTTACAGCCTCAGAGGCCTGGGGGAGGTTTGTTATGAGTTACAATTGGCTGGATTGCATTGGGGTTTGCTTTGTGGCTCCTACTACACAGGTTCCAGGTTTCTCAGGTGGTTGGGAGGGGGCTTGAATACAATAATTCCAGAAGCCTACATTCCTGCCTCCCAGCCAGAGAGGATGAAGAAAGCTCTGTGTCTCTTTTCCAGACCCTGTCTCTCAGGCTCCCTGGTTTCCCTGTACTGCCTTGGTGAGTACACCCCATATTTGACGAATATACCCACCACCATCACCATTAGCACAAGACCTGAGCAGAGAACTGGAAGATGGTCTGGAACCCAGGTCTTCTGGGAGGGAGAGTAGAGCAGAAACACTGGAAAGGCTAGAACTGGACTTATTCCTCCGTAACCACAACCATGGGCCATGTAGGCTTCCGTCGTCACAATCAATTTAGTTATTCAAGTCAGATGGACTACATTAAATTTAGCAAGAAATCATTTAAGAGTTGGAACATATCAAACACTGCTGGGTACTGGTTGGGAGTAGAAAAAGCAGCAAATTAATTGGCTACCATCCTATAGGAGCATGTGCTTGAGCAGAAAGACACACAAAGAGACATGTGGAAGATACAAGCTGGTATCATCAGAAAGTGCAGGCAGGCCACTCCACTGACTTCAGTGTGACCTTGACTAGTTTACACAGCCAGTCATTTCCAAGGTTCATTGACCAAAGAGAACCTCAAGAGACCCTTATTGTTCTAACAAAGGAAATTGGAAGAGAAAACCAACACGTGCCCCAGATTCATCCAACAAGCTTTGTGCCAGAGGTACAGCTGAGTGGGGCCAGGAAGGATGGATAGAATTGGGAATGTCTAAGAGGAGAGGAAGTCTGTCTGTCAGCATTTCTTGTGCAATTTAATCAGCATGTATGTTTACGAACTGGATGTTACGATTCTTGTTTAACATCATGACCGACCCACAACCTAAGTGGTTGGATCTGACACATAACGGCCAGTCAATAAATTAATCCCATTACCTGGTCTTTCCTGGGTAGCACCAAAGGCACAGAAAGATGAGTCACTGGTCCCACTTGAGGAATTTTCAGTCTCACTGAGAAGATACGGTAGATGAATGACAAAAGAAAAGCTGGTCAACACCCAAGACGCACAATAGACATGCCAAGAGAGAATGTCGTGACTGGGTTGAACATTGAGGAATCCATTCAGAGGCTCCAGAAGACAAGAGGCCATGCCTGTCTTTCTACCTTATCACTAAACTTTTCCCAGCATCTAACACTCCCCCTGAGACCAGCAGGCACTCCATGCAAATCTGTGGATTAATGATGTAGTTGAAACAGAAGGCATCATTGAAGGAAGGAATCGTCAGTATATTTGCGTGCAAACACAGGATAACTTTTCATTTTGTAGTCAGCTACAAGTAAATCAATTTGACTAGACAGAGGCCTTTTGTAAGGAAAGGAAATAGCTGCCAGGAGAAACTTAAGCTCAGTCAAAGCAGCAACCTTTCTAAGGGGCTTCAGTAAGGGAATGAGGGGAAGTGTCAAAAGCAGTACTTGAAATTCAAAGTCCCTGAAAAGCTCTACTTAGTGCAGTGTTAGGCCTGTGTCCTTTCCTCTGGAGAATCCATGCTTGTGGTGACTGCCAGAATGTGGCAGAAAATAGGAGTGAGGGGATATATACGCATTATGAGTGGGAGAATCAGCCCAGAACAAGGGAAGACAAGGTATCAGACAGGGAACCTCACTCAGCAGGGGGAAGGGACTTTGAGAAAGGTGATGCCAAGGAATGGAAAGATCCTGTTTTGGAGATGTTATTCCCACTTCAGGTCTCAAAGGAGCTTGTGGGTGTCTATTTTCTCTTACTCTGAGGGAGCAGCTGAGGACACTTCACCTGGGTAGATTTTCACAATTCTGCATCACTCTGGTTTGAAGGTCATGAATTCTCAGCACAACAGACACACCCGTGCTCATAGACTCTTAAATCCAACCAAAGCCGGAAAGAGGAGAAGGAGATCTGGGGAGAGAATGTGGTCTGGGATAATCAGTACGTCCCTATGAATAATTCATAACTGGCTGGTCCTCCCACATACTTCTGGGGAGAGTCGCACAGGCCTTGCTCAAGACAGACTTTGGGCTCAAAGCGGAGGCAGCCCCTTCCCCCCCAAGAATCTGACTTCCTGCTTTCTCCTTCCTTCCTGCTGGGCCCAGCCTGTGGTGTGAACCTGAAGGCCCCTCGGGTGGTGGGTGGGCAGATGGCCTCTGTGGACACCTGGCCTTGGCAGGTCAGCATCCAGTACAACAGACAACACATCTGTGGAGGAAGCATCTTGGACCCCCACTGGATCCTCACAGCAGCGCACTGCTTCAGGTAAAGCCCAGGGTTTCAAGGCAATTTAGGGAGATGAAGGGCAAAGTGAGTGGGCTCCTGTTTCCTGACTTGTCTGATGGCCTCACTCCCTGTCATTCTCCCCCTGGGGACCATGTGTTAGAGTCTGACCACCTCATTAAGGCATTGGACAGCATTGCCTTTGTTAGGTATTGAGGGTCTGAGCAGAGGGTGCTGGTTGCCAAACTTGCCCTCTGTCCAGTGGGAAAGCATCAGTTAGCCAGTGTCCTCCCCACTACGCTCCAGCACAGATGTGCAAGATAGTCCTAGTATCCCTGGAGTCTCCAAGGCTTTTCCCCAGACTTCTGGGAAGTGGTTCCAGGGTCTACAGTTACTGTCATTTCTTTTTACCTCTGTTGTTGTTGCTGTTGTTGCTGTTAGGTGCTATCGAGTTGATCATAATTCAGAGCAACCCTAAGATCAACTGATCTGAACCCTGTCCTATCCTGCGCCATCCTCTTCTTCTCTGACACACTGAGCCCATTGCTGCGGTCACTGCGTCAGTCCATTTTGTTGACCCTCTTCCTCTCTTTCGCTGAACCTCCATCTTTCTCCAATCATGATGTTCCTCTCCAAGGAATAGCCTTTCCTAACCACATGCCCTGGGAATTAGACATTATTTTCATTTTACAGGTAAGAAACTAGGTCTAGAAAGCAAAAGTAACTTGCTAAGACTCAGATAGTAGATGATAAACCCAAGCATGTTTGTGTCCATATTCTCTAAACTTCCTGCCATGCCACCTTTCCTAACAACATGCCCAAAGAATGGGATGTGAAGCTTTGCCATTTTGTCTCCAAGGAGCATTCTGGCTGTACTTTTTCCAAGACGTATGTTTGGTTTTTTGACAGTCCATGGAATATGCACTACTATTCTCCAACACTATTGTTCAAAGGCATCATTTCATCTTCTGTCATCCTTATTCATTACCCAGCTCTCAGATGTATAGCAAGTAATGTCTAGGAACTTTAAAACAAATTACCTATTCCTTATAAGTCATTAAGAAAGGACTGTCTATACTTCTGAAGGAAAAAAAACACTCCTAAGCCATCTTCCTTTTCATTCCTTCACTCAACAGAGCCTGATTACCTACTAGGTACCAAGAACGATATTTTGTGGGCAAGTACATGAGACCCCATTCTGCCTTTGAGGCATTGGGTTAAGCCATTGGTTCTATAGGGAGTTACATTACTAATCCAAAGGCCAAGCCTCTCTAGTGTTTCAAATCCATTGGTGGTTCCAGGAAGAAAGATGGGTGATTTCCTCCCATATGGCTTACAGCCTTGGAAGCTCAATGTAGTGCCAACTATGAGTCATTTCTGACTTGACAGCAATGAGTTTATTAGAACAAAGCTATGGACTCTTCTCAGGGGTGGAGGAGGGGGGATGCCATTTCACAGAAAGCTATGTCTTCTGTGTGGATAAACAAAACCAGGTACCTATGTAACTGTCCAGTGCAAGTATCACTTGAGTCATACATGCCATAAAAAGGGCTGAGGCAGAGTTGTAGGAGCTCTAGAGCTTGGATCCCGGGAACAACCCCTTCCCCAGATTTCCAGTTGAAAGTTTTCTAGGGTGGATTTCAATGAAGAAGGATCAAATCCTTTTTCAGAGCTTAGCCTGTGGTAAGTACTCTTCTGACTGTTCTTCCCTACCATCCTCTCTGCCCATGGTCATATTGCCTCTGAAGGCAGGGACACCCAAAACCAGAATCTACAGGCTTCATGGATAGACCTTCAGCATGTTTGAGTCAGACCTAAACTCAGCTGTTCTCTGATCCCAGGAAGCACCACGACGTGTCCAACTGGAAGGTGAGGGTTGGCTCAGACAAACTGAGCAACTTCCCATCCCTACCTGTGGCCAAAATCCTCGTCATTGAGCTCAACACCATATACCCCAAAGAGAAGGACATTGCCCTCGTGAAGCTGCAGTTACCACTTATGTTCTCAGGTGAGAGGCTGAACCTGGGCACAGAGCCCAAAGGTGACCCAGCCCCCTCAGGGTCAAGTTTTTGTTCCACTCTGCCACTCACTTACCAAGTGGCCTTGAACACACCCCTTCTCCTTCTCAGGGCCTCAATTTGCCCATTTGGTTTCCGTGAATACTTATAATCCTGACCTTACTGAGTGCCTCTTAGAGCTGTCAGTTAGCATCTCACCCAGTTCCCTATTACAGCTCCTTTGTGGATGTGTTTTCTCCATTTGGATCACATCATATAGACCCAATCTTGTAGATGCACAGAATCTAAAAGATCATTCCCATGGTCATCCTCTGTCATTCTTTCTTGGGTCTGTGAACTTTTAAAAAATATTGCATATTTCTAACAGGCCATCATTTCCATTTTTCCCTCAATTCCAACCAGTGTCCCAGTGTCTGCACAATATTCCATGCCGTGGGATCACTGTGCCCCAGTTTGCTCCCCCCAGAGGTAGAGAGCTCATTATTTCTAAGGGAGACCATAGAGTTTTTTAATAGTTTTACTGGATGACGTATACTTATAATAAGTAGTATTTTTATCAATGTTTTCAAATGTGGACGTTAATTCCTTGGGGGAAAGAGATTACACCGTCAAATAGTTTAGAAACACATTTATAATTCCAATTCTCTCCTTATAGAGTCACGGGACATGGTAGTATAGAAAAGTTATAGGAAGTATTTTTTAAATGTTTTATTGTATTTAATTTAAATTTTTAAGCTTATTTGGCTATGTCATTGTGGTGGTTGTTGTTGTTGTTGCTGTTGTTATGTGCCATTAAGTCAGAGTCAACTCATAGCTGACCCTCCGGCAAGTTTTCAGAGGCTGTAAATAATGTGGATGAGATTACTCATTTTTCTCTCTTGGAGCATTTGGCAGGTTCAAACTATGTGCCTTTGGGTTGACAATACAGCTCCTTACCACTAGGCCACCAGAGCTCCCTTATTTGACCATATTTTTCTCATGCCGCTTCTATTGACGTCCTGTGGTATTAGTGTTATGGAGATCATGAGGTAGAGATTTTCAAAGGACTCAGCTGTCAGATTCTCCCAAATCATGAGTCTCCCTTTTTCCATCTTCTCCTGACAGGAACAGTCAGGCCCATCTGCCTGCCCTTCTCTGATGAGGAGCTCGTTCCAGCCACTCCAGTCTGGGTTGTCGGATGGGGCTTTACAGAGCAGGATGGAGGTAAGTCTTGGATTTAGACCCACAAGGCGAGTGAGGCCCTTGGATGAGGGAGCAACTTCTGGAAGCGATGGGAAAGAGGCCATCCTTCTGAAAAATCCACCCTGCCAGTTCAAGCACCAGGGTTCCAAATAAGACTCAAAGTACTCTTACAACCAGAGAAATAGCTAAGGGTTGTTGTTGTTTACTGTCAAGTCAGAATCAATTCCTAGCTGACTCTCTAGTAGGTTTTCAGAGACAGTAGATTACATAGGAGGAGTTTGCCCATCTTTCTCCCAGAGAGCAGCAGGTGGATTTGAACTGCCTGCCTTTGGATTGGCAGTGCAACTCTTTCCTATTAGGGCGCCAGAGCTGCCCAGTGGTAGAATTGGGAGTAGAAGGCAGAAATGGAGCTGTGTGTGCTCTCAACCTCCTAGGAAAGATGTCTGATGCCCTGCTGCAAGCATCGGTTGAAGTCATTGACAGTACACGGTGCAACGCCGAGGATGCGTACCAGGGAGAAGTTACTGAGAAGATGCTGTGTGCAGGTGTCCTGGAGGGCGGCGTGGACACCTGCCAGGTACAGCCTTAAAGGTCATGAGGGAATTCTATGGTTAAGGATGTAGGTCCTGGAGAGACAAGAAAACCCTGAAACTGAATATCCCGCATGAAGTTTTGCATATGGTAGACACTCAGGATGTAATGAAGAGAAGGAAGGAATAGATAACTTAAGGATTTAAGGATCCTTAAGAGATAGATCCCAAAGAGAAATAACTTAAGAATGTTAAATGTATATTTTATATACTGAGATGACATTACTTAGCTTACTCCTCACCACTGGTAGGATTATGGACCCCTTGCAGGAAGGAACTCAAGGTCTGTTTCTTCTTTGTGAGAGCCTCCAAGCTCCTGAAAACCCACCTCATACTGGCCAAGCTCTGATGTAATCCCACACTGCTTCCTCACTGACCATCAGGACTGCTCACTTCATTGCTCACTGCCATCTAGTCTAGTCTGACTCAAAACAAACCTCCCTTGGGGTTTCTGGGAGGAGATTGTTCATCCTTCTCCTGCGGAGCGGTTGGTGGATTTGAACCACTGACCTTTTGGTTGTCTCCATTCTCCAAGGTTACCTGAGCATTTTCTATTCATTTTGAACCTCTAACTCTGCTCGCATTCTCATTTCTTCACTCAAGATGCATCTGTCAGTTCTTGAGGGCAAGGTACCTACTGAGCTTGGGAGATAAGTTGGCTGCTCTCTGGGGGTTCACACTGGTGAGAAGCTACAGTGACATACAAACACACAGTTGGCAGTGGTGTTATTGGGTCCTGAGGAGGGAAAGCTCAGTGTCATTGGCAGGAAGGACACTCAAGAAATTTGCATGTTCTTGGCTATTTAGTTATTTGTTAATTGTCTCTTTCTCCCTGATTTTATTCTAATTTCCTTGAATAAAGGGATCTTTGATTTTTACATTTGTTACATCTCAATTGCCTAAAACAGAGCCTTGTACAAATTAGACATTCGACAACTAGGGCAGCATGTTTGAGAAACAGCAAATTAAAAGAATATAACTAGACTTCCTTACTGAAGGATCACCAAAACACAGACAAGCAAAAACCAGTTCTTTCAAGTCAGTTATAACTTAATTAAACCATGTAGGGCTTGCCCATAGAAGTCTCAAAGTCTGTAAATCCTTACAGAAGCAAACAACTTCATCTTTCTCCCATGGAATAGCTAGTGGGTTTGAACCACTGACCTTCCCACTGGCAGACAAATTCTTCACCACTAAGTCCCCAGAGTTCCTTAGAGCCTTCATTTTGTAAGTGCAAACTGCAAACTTCCAAAAGAAGACTAACAGCATTTCTGCAACTTACTTACTTGACCTCAGACATGACCAAGAGCAAAGGGCATTCCACTGTGCAGGAAACACCATGAGCAAAGAGGATGAGGGTGAACCAGGAGTACTGCCCCAGAAAATGTCCAAAACAGCTGGCCAGTGTAGGGTGACAGGAAGGAGAAGTCCAGCCCTGTGCCTCGTCCCCCACCCCAGCAGTCCCTGTTCTGGCCTCTCACAGGGAGACAGCGGTGGGCCCCTGATGTACGAGTCTGACCAGTGGCAAGTGGTGGGCATCGTGAGCTGGGGCCATGGCTGTGGAGGCCCGAGCACCCCTGGGGTGTACACCAAGGTGGCAGCCTATCTCAACTGGATCTACAACGTCCGGAAGGTGAGCATGTTTGTCCCATCCATGGTGCCTTCCTTGCCTCCCTCCATAATATATTGAGGTAACAAACCATCCTTTTAGCTTGATTTAATGATTTTAAAACAAAACTATACATCTAAATAATTTTCCCTCCCAGCAAGTGACAGCCCAAGATTCCAACCATAAGGACTGACATTCCTTAGATTATGTGTTGCTGTTGAAGTACCTTAGTGTACAAAACTCACTGAGCTAGCAGAGGGCCTATCAGATCCTTTTGTGGAGTGTGGGTTCTGATAAAGACAAAGATGGGAAGGCTTCTGAGACTTCTAAGCCCCTTGACAGTAGAGAAAGGAGAAAAATCCTCAGAAAATAGGATTTTTGCCATTTTCTTACACCCTCCATTTTCAGATCATTTGGTTTTGTCTTTTTTTGTCTCTTATTCCAGGCCGAGCTGTGAGATTGCTGCTTCTCCACAGTGCTGGGAGCTGCTTCCTTCCTGCCCTCTCCCCCAGGGGTCCCTCAGAAGTCAGCTTGGAGCAAAAGCCCCCTGGGGCACACCTCTTTACCATGGCTCCAGCATTTCTCAGAACAACAAAGGGCCTTCATGTCCACAGGCACTGGGGCAAGTCTGCAACCACTTCCTGGCCTTCCCAGTATCCCAAGGACAGACACAGCCACAGAACAAGCCAATTCTCAGACCAAGGTCTCAGAAGGCAAGGCTAATCTGAGAAGGAACATTCCCATCATGCCGAATGGAGGCCAACTTCGCTGTGAGAGCCTAGACGACTAGGCCTGGAGTGGAAGGAGGAAAGGGTACCAGCCTCTTCTGTCCACTCAGGCCCAAGCCCACCAGGAGAAAAAGCTTTATTTTGATTTTTTTTTAGTATATAGTTATGCTGTTGATGTGAATGTTATCACTGTTGTTACTTGTATACTCACTATTATTAAACATGAAGTCTTTGGCATAAAATGGTTGGGTTTCTTGATAAGAACCAAGAAGGACTATTGTACTATGATGACCTTTATTGTTTGGCCTGATCAAGAAAAAGTCCTGGAGAGGCAGTTGTTCCTCAAATTGAAGAAGGGAAAAGAAGACACAGAGAACAGACTTGATGGGTGAAGATAACTATGAGCTGCTGAGACGGGAAGCCAGAGTGAAGGAGTCATATTCCCACACGGGGCTTTTCCCTATCTTCTTCCTCCCTTCAATTCCCTTCTTGCCTGTGGCATTGTCCATGAGCCAGAATGACCTGTGGTCTGAAAGGGAAATTATTTGGTCATTCCAGTTTGACATTAAGGGGTACAGGCAGGGCAGTGATTAAAACACTTGACTGTTAACCAAAAAGTCAGAGGTCTGAGCCCACCAGTCACTCTACAAGAGAAAGCATACAATCTGCTACTGTAAAGACTTACAGCCTTGGAAGTCCTATGGGTAGTTCTACTATCAAACTGCTATGAGTCAAAATTGATTCCACCTCAATGGGGTCTATAATACATTAAACTGTGGCTCTCTTGTTGCTGAAAAGAGGTATTGTACCTCTGAGTCCTACTTTCTTCCATATTGGTGGTGTGGTTTCTCTGTCGTTTAAAAAACAAACAAAGAAAATCATCACCTGCCAGCTATGAAGCAAGTCCAAACAAAATTCAGTGCAAGGTCAGCAAGGTCACAGCTGGTTAGACTTCCCCCCATCTTTCCAGGATCATTCATATCTTTATGGAACCACCTCTAATATCTTGCTTCATTGACATCACTTTACATGACAACACTTAGGATAGTTACTTTATACTGAGGATCATAGCCACACAATATTAACCATCATTGGCCCACAATATTAACTGTCACAAACAATGAGTTGGAATCACCAGAAATAACAAGTTTAGAACTTCAAGGATTTCAGATGTTAGAATTATCGGATAATTATAGTAATTACTGAAATGTTTATTCATTCATTGTTCTGTGTGCTTCAGCATTTATTAACTCATTTAGTCCTCAACAAACTCATGATTTAGGTGCTAAACATTGTTTTATGAATAAAGAATCTAAGACACAAAGAGATTATGTACTTTACCTGAGGTGGTGGTTGTTAGGTATCATTAAGTTAGCTACGACTCATAGTGACTCCATCAACAACAGACATGAAGCCTGCCTCTCCCACACCATCTTCACAATCAGCAACATGCTCCAGACTTCCATTAGAGTCACTGTCAATTCATCTGGTTAAGGGTCTTCCTCTTTTCCTCTTTCCCAGAATTATATCTTTTTTTCAAGGGCCAGCCCCTCTTGAAAACTTGTGTCAAATGAAGCTTCACCAGCCCTGCCTCGAAGAAACACCTTGCTTGCACTTCTTCAGAGACAGATTTGTTCATTCTTTTGGCAGTCTATGGGATATTCAGTACTGTCTTCCAACACCACAATTCAAAGGCATTGATTCTTCTTCTGTCATCTTTATTTATTGCCCAACTCTCAGATGCATTCAAAGAAACTGAAAATATTATGGCTTAAATCAGACACACTGCAGTCTTGAAACTGACATGACATCTTTCCTCTTTGGAAAAGTACTTTACAGCAGGTTTTTCCAAGATAACACCTTATTTAGATGTCTTGACTGCTGCGACCATGGGTGTTCATTGTGGATCCAAATAAAATGAAATCATTGGCAACTTCAATTTTTCTCCATCGATCATGATGTTAACCCAGTGGTGAGGATTTGGGGTTTTTGTTTTTTTTAACCTGAGAAATCTGACTCCAGAGTTTATGTCATAAACCACTGCACTATAAATCCTCCAATACATACAGACTATGTGGAAATAAGTTTACATAAGATCTCTAAATAAATTTTAATAAGCTTTTAAAATAATTAAGCAAAAATGACCAGACAGATTAAATAAATAATCAAAGAGAGCTCTTGGGAATAAAAATTATAATTATGAAAATAAAAAATGGAATGTTGTTGTTATGTGCCATCGAGTAAAAATGGAATAGATAGGCTAAATATCAGATAAGATACAGGTAAAGAAAAAAAATTAACTGAAAAATACATTAGAGAGTTATTCAGAGAGAAAACAGAAATTGTGAAAAGCTTTGAAACATGGAGACTAGAATATTAAGGTCTAACGCTTCCAGTAGAGTCCCAGGAGAAAATAACAGAGAGAATGGGGGAAGGGGGGAACCAAAACACAAAAACCAGCATCTCCAAAGAACTATTACTGTTATTCATTTCCATCAAGTTGATCCCTGCCCTGTGGAAACCTCCTAAATTACAGACTAGAATCCCTCTCAGTAAGATTGTCTTGACTATGACATTTATTTTTTATTTTTCATGAGGAAGTGATTCTTTTTTTTTA